CTTGGTCTTCTGGCCTGAGCCTGGAATAATGGTTGAGGGACTTGGTTCTGGTACGTTGGTTTGGCCAGGCTGAGGGAGGTTGGTGTGACCTGGCTCAGGAATCGTGGGATGGCCTGGTTCAGGATACTGGGGATAGCTTGGTTCAGGAAGTTTGGTGTTCCCAGGTTGTGGTAACTTGGTGTTGCATGGCTCCTTGGTAATGGGAATAAATGGTTCCTGGGGTGGAGGTTGGCAGGGCTGTTTCACCTGCTACTGTTGAGGTGGGGGAGGAGGGGTGCTGGGCTGCTTCTGCTGCTGGGAACTCATGCTTCACAGGAGGCTGGGCCTACAAACAAAACCAACTTGGTGGTTTGGTAAAACAAAGAAGCCAAGTTCAATGAGAAATATGTCTTATTTCATGCCCCTTCAGAAGCAAGAAACTCTCTTTCTTCCAGCTTCCCTCCTTTTGAGACTGAAGGAAACTTTGGTGGTTCTTATGCATGTCTCCTACATAGGGTGCCTTAGCTGTCATAGAAAAATTCTATGCAAAACTCCTCGAGCCCACATAATCCCGCCTATGATCCTTTGTTCACATCATCTGCACCATGCATGCTTTCTGGAAGGTTTTCCATTCTATCTCTGCTTGTCCACACAGGCTCACCCATTACAGCTCTCCTCCTAGACACTCTCTGCCAAATCATCTTCTTCATTTTGCCACAGTACAATACCTTCCATGAAGTATATTTGCAAATTATGCTTGTGTATTTTGCTCTCTGATGGACTGTAGGTTCATGGAATAAAGAAAATATCTTTTAAACATCTCAATTGCCAATGCAGTGCCTTCAATATTGCAAGTTCTCCACAGTTACTATAGGGAATATTAAAATGTCACTACAAGTGCCCTGGGCACGGGTTGTAGTTCATATTCTCCTGCTAACTGAACAGATGGTCAACAGAAGCCACTCTCCTTTCTGACCCCACGTTCCATAGCTGTAATCTGAGTGAGAAGTCAAAAACGATCTATCAAGTCATCTTAAACACAAATTGCATTACACTTAAAGTAAATATATCCTATCATGGCAAAGATATCCCAATCAAAATAAAATACCATCAAGCAAATAATGATAAAATCCAAGGAGAGAGACTCACCAGGCATGCAGAGAAGTTCGCGTTGACAGGCTTCTCAGGTCTGGTGGGGAGTCTCGGGACAGCAGGCACTTTATACAGAATATGAACCTTGCCTTAGGAAAGTGGAATTTTTTAGGGCTACTCTATCTTCATTCCAGCTTTTGTAATGAAAATCTCTGGCTTAGCATTTTTTTGGTACCTACTGTTTGACAATGATATCACCTGGGCCTGTCCTCCCAGTCTACCCTTGTGGTGAGGTTGTTATGGGTAACAGGGTTCTCTGGTGGAGGTGAGTTAAATCAGGTGGAAGTTCTGGGCTTCTGGGAACAGAAACAACCATGTCTCTTGGGCAGGACCCTGATATTTAGCTCAGATATTTAGCTAACACCCAAGTCCTGTGAAAATCCTAACAGGATTGGGCAGCCATGATGCTATGTCAGGCAAAGGCTCAGGACTGGAGGCCCCACTTCACCTGGCAGTTTGAATGACACAGGCACTGAGCGTTCACAGAGCAAGGTTCAGAATTCCCCTCAAATCCACAGCATCTTCTGGTGAAGGTACAGACTATTCAACATCCCAGCAGACATCAAATAAGCTCCTACCATTTGGCGGACACCTGGTTCTGCAGAGATGTGGGGTGCCTGGAGTAGGGGTGTTAAACATACAGCAGAAAAGAGACAGGAGGGGAAAGGGTTACAGGAGGAGCAACTTGGTGGAGAGTCAAGGACATTAGGTGGGCAGACGCAGAAAGCCAGCTGGAAAAGAGGCTCTTCTGAGTCAGACATAGGAGAAAACAGCCCACAGTCTAGCTGAACTCCCTTATTGAACTGTTGTCGTCTAAACTAGGTACTATCTTCTTTTTCCTTCAGCACACATGGAGACTGGGGTGCTCCTAGGACGGAGGAACATGAACGTGAGGAAACCAAGATCAATCCATGAAGAGAATCAAATGTGCATTCCTTTATCTGCACAGGTGAGACATGCACCTACAGTCTACCAACCTGTGTGCAGTTTGTCCCTAAAATTCCTCACCCGAAAGCAGTATCCTGCCCTCTACTCTTGTCTGGGAGAATGGCATTCTATTATTGAAGAGGAAAGGAGCTGAGGGAAGAGGAGCTCACACCTGCCCCATAACCTTGTTTAACCCTTGGTGGTCGTGGGGTTTGTATAGAATATCATTTTAAAAAGGCTTAACTGTACCTCCCTCTTTTCCTTGTGGGCAGCTGGCCTGGAAACTACTGCAGGGCTTCGAAGAAGTTCTGGAAAACATATTCTCTAGCTCATCAACATCTTGGACTGCTTTGGCTTTTTTTAAACATGTGAAAGAAGTGTTATAAATAAACATAATTCTAATCTATGATGTAGAATGTGTTTAAAATATAGAAACATTTAGTGGTGCCTGAGTGGCTCAACTGGTTGAGCACCTGACTCTTGATTTCAGTTCAAGTCATGATCTCAGGGTCTTGGGATCAAGCCCTGTGTTGGGCTCTGCGCTGAGCCTGGACCCTGCTTAAGATACTCTCTTTCCCTCTGCCCCTCCCACCGCTGTCTGCGTGATCTAAATAAATGAAAAACAAACAAACAAACAAATACATAAATAAAATATAGAGACGTTCAAAGAATAAAATAGCCAATACCTTTTATTCTCCAGCCCACTATAGTCACTGATTAAGTTTTGCTGTATTTTATGCCAGATTTTTAAAAATTTATACATATCTCCATTCATTTTTAACAAAGATGTTATGTGTCACATGCCATATTTTACATGATCTTGAAAATGTCTGAACATTTTTCCATATGACTAAATATTATTTTATGATCATAGTATATTTCATGACAGATATAAAATGATTTGTTCAATCAACTTTCTCTTTGGGAGAATTTATGTTGTTTCCTTCCTAAATATTTTCACTATTATATATAATGTTGAAGGGATGATACTCTTATAAATAAATCATTGTGTGTCTGAATGCGTATTTCCCAGTGGAATTCAGAAGGCATGCAGTTGTGTAAGGATTTTTATTAAGATCATTTCTTGACTTTATGTCCCTAACAGCTGTGTGTCACCAACCACTGTCCCCAGTCACGACCTGCCCCTGTAATGGTGACTGACCCTAGAGTTATTGTTGACATTACCCATCATGCCAACAAGCAGCAATTTGAAATCCCCTGGACATGCACAAACCTTGCATACCCAGGTGACGTCCCATTCTCTCCTCTCTGTCTGATGATTACTCATCAACTTGCAAAGCTTTGCTGGATAATTTTGGTCTTATAGTCTCCAAATTTCTCTGGAGTTCTGTCCAGACATATCTGGAGTGCTTGTGCATCATACAGGTATGAGGCAGATGATGGGCAACACATCTTTTGCCTGCCTTACATCTGCTTGATGTTATTTTATAAGTAGGGTTCATTCCCCAGTGACCACTGCAGCCCCACTGGAAATTCTGTTGATCTCTCAGCCTCTAGACTTTTTGCTGGTCACCAGCAAAGTCAAGAAGACATGGTTGTAGGGAGAGAGCTGATGGTGGGAATCTGAAGAGCTGAACCTTGGATATGACTCAGAAATATGATTTCCGGGTGGTCGTGATGAATTCTCCTTTCTGGGGAAGGATATCAGGATATCATTTTATCTTGAAGGATATTGTTTTATCTTGAGGCTGAATGGGCTTGCTTGGTGTTTTCAAGTGTCCTTTCACCCTAACATTTTACCTGGTGATGACCTGTTTTCCCTTAATTTCAGGCTGACTGTCTTATCTGCATTAAACAGTTTTCCTTCTGAAACCTACCTAAACTTTCTTTTTCTTCTTTGATGCATTTACTTTTATGGTCTCTTTGGAGAGGTACCCTGTATATGTGGGGAGGGGGGCTGAAGGGAGAAGGGGGGCACAAGAGAGCAGGGGGAGGTGTGTGTGTGCTTTGGTATCAGTGCATATTTGCATGAATGTCTATTGACATGGAAAGGGGTGAGGATCACCCCCTTAAGCTTCTCCTAGGCAGGCACTGTGGATTCTACTTTCCTTTGTCCTGCTATAGCACAGGGGTCTCAGTGAAAGATAAAGACAGAGTAGGGTGATCAAATCAGCAGGTATGTGTGTGTGTGTCATGTGATTTGGGGTGTCAGTGTGTGCAGAAGTCTATCTGTGTGTGTGTGTCTATGAGTATGAGTGATTCAGGGTTTGGCTCCATGTGTTGGGGCATCAGCAAAGGAGGATGCATCAATAATCATGTTGGAATTTTTACGAGCACTATTTCTTTGGAATAAAAAAATAATAATAAAGAAATAAACCAAACAGAAAAAAAGCAACTTGGGGGCCAGGATTGAGTCAGAGATGGCTTGAAACATGTACCATCTACACTCATAGAACTCACTGAGGTGCAAAAGAAGCTCTGCTCTAGCTAAGGCTGCCCAAAGTAATGGGCTCTGGGTAGCCTTGACCCATTGCCAGCCCATGAACACACACACACACACACACACACACACACACACACACACACCCATGCTCTCAGTGCCTGTGCCAGGCCCTTTGCTGCTTCATGATGAGAGAACAAAGAGAAAGTTGATTCAGCCAATGACAAGCACAGCCAGCTGTGGAGTTAAAAGTGGTTTAATGGGGAGAAGGCAGGAAAGATCCACTTGATCCCCAGGCCCCTCTTTAGATGAGCCCTGAGCAGTTAAAAGAGTAGCTCAGCCAGTGAGACTCTCAGCATCATTCAGAGGCTCAGAGCCCTCTAGAGCAATGTGAGGGAAATCTTGTAGAGGGTGCAAAGAGGGAGGGTATGACTCAGGGTGACAGCATGCTAATTGTAAGTAAGACACAGAAGCAGAATGGGAGAGGGGATTCAGCATCCGGTGGTTGGCTCCCCAAGGGCTTGCTTGGCTGTGGACCCCATTACTTCTGCTTGGTCTTCTGCTGAGCTGGCGCTGGAGTGACCGTTGGGAGACATGGCTCAGGAATCTTGGGGTGGCAGGGCTCAGGAGCTTTGGGGTGGCAGGGCTCTGGAGCCTTGGGGTGGCAGGGCTCAGGAGCTTTGGGGTGGCAGGGCTCTGGATCCTTGGGGTGGCATGGCTCCTTGGTTTTGGGGGCACATTGTTCCTGGGGTGGAGGCTGGCAGGGCTGTTTCACCTGCTGCTGCTGAGGCTGGGGGGGAGCGGTGCAGGGTTGCTTCTGCTGGTGGGAACTCATGCTTCACAGGAGGCTGGACCTACACAAAGAACAGATGATTTAAACAGGGATTATCTAGGATAGAAACCATATTCAATGCCAAATGTTTCTTTACAGGCCCTGTTAGAAGAAACAGCCCCTCATCTCCTCTGGCTGACCACCCCCCACAAACCTGAAAGTAAAATATGCTTTGATAATTTCTGGGCCCTTTCAAGAGGAGGAGTTAAAGTCAATTTGTTCTGCTCCATTTCAGTGGGGTTCATTCTCCAGCAAACCTTTCTTCCCCAGACATGTCATATCCCTCATTGACAAGTACCCAGGACCACACTGAGGACTTTTGGAAAGTGACATTATAGAAACAACTGCAGTCTGCCCACCCATAGGACCATGCAGCATGCCTGTGACTTACAAAATGCCTCTCTGAGTCTCAGCTCCTGTGACCTCACTCTGCCTTTGCTAATACGGTGTGCTCTGAAATGCTCTCCTTCCCATTTCTGCTTGTCTAAATATGCTTCCACTGTAGCTCACATCTTGCGCTATCACCAGGAGATACTCCTGGCTCCCCCAAACAGCCCTTCCCTGTCCCTCTGTTCCCATGCCAATCATTATCTGCTTTGCATTTCATCTATGTATGAGCATGCATTATCTTCCCTGCTAGGCCGTGAGCTTGCTGAATGAGTTCCATAACGGTTTGATTTACCCAAAGTACCTAGCATGGTGCCTGAAATATAACAAATGCATAGTAGAGGTCCACCTCATGAATTAACATTTTTATAAGTGTCATAAGCAGAGAAAATAGTGGTGTTGCTGAAAATGCCTGGGCCTAGGAGTCCTAGTCACAATCGTGCTACTAACTTACTGTCAGCACTTGCACAAACCTGCCCCCCGCCCGCCCCCAGTCTCACGGCTGTTCACCAAAGTGGCAGACTTACCTGCCTCTAATTCCCTTCACACCCAAACTGTGCTTTAATCTAAAATGACCAGTATTCTCTCTCTAATTAATATCCTTATCAGCCCTCTTACACATGTTTGCCTCTGTCCAGTTTCCAATAATAAAAAAAAGTAAACATGAATTTTGAATTGGTTCCAGTCAGAGACTTACCTGGTACACAGAGAATGGGGTGTCTGGTTGCTCTGGTCTGATGCGAAGTCAGAAGCCAGCTGGCTTTATATAGGATGAATGAGCCCTGCCTCAAGGAAACAGAATCACCTCAGGCCCCCTCTGTTTTCATTCCTTACCTGTCAAACATGATTCACCCTATTCCCCTCAATTACCAGTTGGATCAGCTTTTGTGATGAAAACCACCCACTTGATATTTTTTGGCACTGGCTGTGTGACAATGATGTCACCGATGCCTAATCCCCAGTGCCACCCTCCCCCTTAGACCCAGGCATAGGGCTTGTGTTGGGGGAGGGGTGAGCCACAGGCTTCCCGGAGGGTTTAAAGAGTTAACCTAGGAGGAAGATCTGAGTCCTTTGTGTGGCCTTGCTATCTTCTTGCTCTTTCTTCTCTTGAGGGGATTGTTCCTCTTGTTTTGTGTGTTAGAATACATTTGGGCACAGGAACAAGTGGGAGAGGTGTCAGAGGACCTGAGGTGGGCACCTGTTGCCTGCCTTATAAAGGTAGATGCTAGAGGTCGTCGATTGACTGATTACAGACTCCTTGTCTGGGGATCGAATCCATTTCCTCCATCTTTCTCCTAACTCCACTGAACTATACACATTCAGATTACTTAATTATCCCCCCAACCCCACCCCTCCCTGACTGGTTGCTAATCTGGGTAAACCTGCTTTGCCTTCACCAACCACACCTTCGCCCCTCTCCTACTTCAGAAATTTTCAAGGGCTAATTCTTCTTCTGGGATAACCTTTTCCTTCCACTCCACCCAGCCTTCTGGCCCTGGCCCTTCCTTCTTAACCCAGCTGTATACCACCCACACACCACCGGAAACCTGGAAGCCTTTTCTAACTATTTCAGCCCCTAGCCCAGGCCCATCCACGGAGCCCCGGAATAACCCAACCCTTCCTTGCCCACTTCCAGTCCCAGCCCTGACACCCAGAGGTCTTGTTGGCTGCAGTGTTTTCCTCCTCTCTTGGCTCTGTATCTCCTGGGGGCTCTCTCAGCATCAGAGCTGTGCCTGCTCAAAACAACAGCACTCCCATGGTGATATTTGTTTCCATATTCATTCAACAAATATTAACAGATACCCTAGTATATGCCAGGCATGTTTCATTCGGGGAGCTATCCAAGTGTGAAGGCCACTTCCCTCAGCAGACTGGGAACTACTTAGCATCAGAGACATATCCTACTTTAGAGTCACTAGTTTAATGACTCTCAGAGAGCCTCAGTCCAGCCTTCAAGTGATGGCTGAGGGATTCGAGGCTATAAGAGGTGAAATAACTCCCTCAAGGTCAAACAACAATCCCCACGAAAAAAAATGAAGTCTACAGCGAAAGTCTATGTTCTTTTTTTTAACCCCTCCCTAGTCCTAATGCCAAAGAGGAAATCAAGCCGAGGCAGGAAAATAATGACAGGTGGAAAGGGGAACTCAGACTTCCTGGCTTGCAGTGGATCCACTCAGTCCTGGGAGAGCTTTGTGTGATGGGCAAAGTAAGAAGAAAAAAAGAGCCTTCCCTTTTGTGTAAAACCTTAAACTTTGTTAAGATGAATCCTCTTAGGTAGGAATAAAGCTGCTTAATGTTTGAAGTGGCCCTAGTATTAACAGTAGGTATTTCTAGCTCTGCTGAAAATAGGAGGGGCATGAATTAGCATAGTGGAAATAAGGGACTCATTCAGCATATCATTCCTCAGTGGACCAGGGTCTGAGAGAGGAAGGGAAAGGCTAAAATGCCTGTTTTGAGCCAGAGTTGCTTTCACTTTGGAGGAGGCCCCAGGATGGCATAGTGACAGAGTCTGGGTACCTTGACTAGTAATGACACTGAGGTTAGCAGGAAGTGAGCAGCCTCTGAGCTCCTGCCCAGGTATGTCTTCCCTCCATGATGGTCAGATCCTCAAGATTCTCCTTGCCACAGGCTTTTCTTTCTTGGGAACATAAAAACAGGGATCCCCTGAGTCTTTACACCAGTAACTTTCTGTGATCAACATAACATGAAACTGAATTCACTGTTTCAGGGCTGTCCTCAAAACACATCTGTTACTAGGTGTGGCCTTTGGAAAATCCAAATCATGTTTAGAACCCAGGTGTGTGGATAGCTCCTCCTCCTCATAGCCCTCCCCTGCCCCCAAACATACACCTAAATGTTTGTGGAGCACCTGCTGGCTTCAGTTGGGTCACCTCTTGTGAACTTGAGTCCTGGATTAGCCTCAGTCTTTATGGCCATTAGTGCATCTTCATCCTTACATGGTGCCTGGTGGGTAGTAGTTGCTCAGCAAGCTGGCAGTTAATTATAGAATGATTGACTAACTGACTGAATGGATGGATAGATGGATGGATGGATGGATGAATGAATGAATGAATGAATGGCATTATTTGTAAAGAGAGGCCCAGAGTTCCTCATCTTTGGGGTCTGCTGGGAAGAAGAGGAAGGGCTCAGCAAAGGACAGATGGCACTGCCTTCCCCACGTATCTGTTCACTGTCAGTCTGTCTAGTGACCATCTCCCTCTGGGCTGGTACCAGTGTCATGACCACAGCTGAGCTCCAAGCCTCTCATCTCACTCTGACACTCTTCCAAGCTTGGGCTAGGTCCCTTTCTTCACCTGGACCTGCTCTCAGGAGCCCCTAACAGAAGGAGCTCCAGGCAAAACCTGCTGCTCTACCTGGTGGGATTCTTAGCTGGAGGATCCTGTTTCCTGCTCCTCTGTCCTATATGGTCACCCAGGTTGTCTCAGGATCTGGAGGATCTGAACCCAGCTCTGCAGCTGGAGTACCCTGTGCCCTCCCCAGGCCTTGGCCCTAGATGCAAAGGAATTTCCCTGTCATCTGATACCCTGCCCTGGGCTGGAATCTCCTGCCTTCCTTGACCCGTGCTCCCTTGGCTCCACCCAGTGCTGCTCTGGCTCTGGCCTCTGGAACTTTCCATGACTCCCAACATTATTCTCCCTGTTTGTTCATCTGAGGCTCACTCAGTAGTTGGTTCTCCCTTTTCAGAGAAGTTCCTTTTCACTAACAGTGTGGGTTAGTGGGTGAATCTGGCCCCATAAATGTCCTACATAAAGAAAGGGGGTAACGGGGTTGCTTACAATGGGAAGTACATCTCCCATGATTTCATAGGGGCCCCTCCTTATCACACAGGGCCTGCTGCTGTTCACATGTTAAAATCTGGCTCCCTTCTGGACTAGCTCACCATGCATTTGCAGAGTGGGGAAGGTTGCAGCCCTGAGCTCTTCAGTGATCAGGCCCTTCCCTGCTTACATCACTCCCTCCTGTGCTTCCCCAAGACCCAGAGCATGCAGAGAATGTCATGCAGAATTCAAATTCTAGTCATTTTATCATGAGGGCCATGTTTAAAACATGCTAACACCTTGAAGCAAGCAATAGTAAGAGACCCTCCCCCAGTCACCTTGCGGAGCTAGGGACCCGAGAGTGGTGGCTCATTTCGATGATTTTAAAGAAGTCTCCATAGCATATGGGTCCCTCCATCTGAAAAAAGAGGAGGAAATGGGGGGGAAGAGATGCCAGATACCAGGCATTTTGAAGCCTTTTGAACCCTTGAGTACTACAGGCAGGAGATGTGAAGTTTGCAGAGATGGATGCCAAGGTGGAGAGGGACAGTAGTCTTAGCACTGGAGAGCCTCTACCCTTGTGCAGGTCCTGGTTCCAGAGGGGGGAGAGGACATCTGGGGAGGGAGGGGACTCATCCCAGGCCTCACAGCTGGTTTAGCAGCAGAATCAGACCACAGCCTGGGATGCCCAATTGCCTCTCCATCCCACTGTCTCTCTAGACAGAGCATAACCCCCTCAGCATCCCTCTCTTCCCCTCTCAGTGTCTCAGCGGAGGAATAAAAAGTTAAATCTGGCTTTTCTTGCTTGAGGCAAGTAGAAAAGAAAGGACCCAGGAT